ATGGAAGAAGACTGTCACATCTTTCTCCCATGGAGCGGCTTGTGGGTTCAAACTGCCAATCTTTCAGTTAGCAGTGAAGTACTTAACTACTGCACATGGTGTTCTGGGCCTTGTGCTCCTGTCAGAAGCAGCAGAGTGAGAAATGGCGATACCCTAGAGAAATAAGATCCATCACATGAATAGACATATGCACACCCATGTTCATTGCAGCATTATTCACAATAGCAAACAGATGGAAACAACCTAAGTGCCCATCAACAGATGAATGGATAGACAAACTATGGTACATACACACAATGGAATACTTTACAATGATAAAGAACAACGATGAATCTGCGAAGCATCTCACAACCTAAATGAATCTGGAGGGCATTATGCTCAGAGAAATAAGTCAATCACAAAAGGACAAATATTGTATGAGACCACTATTATAAAAACTTATGAAAAGTTTTACACATAGAAAGAAATGATCTTTGGTGGTTACTAGGGAGGGGAGAGGTGGGGAGGGAAAAACACTAACTAGACAATAGATAAGTGGTAACTTTGGTGAAGAGTAAGACAGTACACAATACTGGGGAAGTCAGCACAACTTGACCAAGGCAAGGTCATGGAAGCTTCATAGACACATCCAAACTCCCTGAGGGACAGAATTACTGGGCTGAAGGTTGGGGACCATGGTCTCAGGAGATATCTAGCTCGATTGGTATAACAGTTAATAAAGAAAATGTTCTACATCCTACTTTGGGGAGTAGCATCTAGGGTGTTAAAAGCTTGTAAGCAGCCATCTAAGATACTCCACTGGTCTCACCCTGTCTGGAACAAGGGAAAATGAAGAAAACCAAAGACACTAGGGAAAGATTAGTCCAAAGGACTAATGGACCACAACTACCACAGCCTTCACCAGACTGAGTATAGCACAACTAGATGGTGCCCGGCTTCCCACCAACTGCTATGACAGGGATCACAATAAAGGGTCCAGGATACAGCTGGAGAAAACTGTAGAACAAAATTCTAACTCACCAAAAAAAACCAGACTTACTGGTCTGACAGAGACTGGAGAAACCCCACAGTATGGCCCCCGGACACCCTTTTAACTCAGTACTGAAGTCACTCCTGAGGTTCACTCTTCAGCCAAAGATTAGACAGGCCCATAAAACATAATGAGACTAAATGGGCACGCCAGCCCAGGGGCAAGGACGAGAAGGCAGGAGGGGACAGCAAAGCTGGTAATGAGGAACCCAAGATCGAGAAGGGGAGGATGTTGGCCCACAGTGGGGTTGGCAACCAAAGTCACAAAACAATATGTATATTAATTGTTTAATGAGAAACTAATTTGTTCTGTAAACCTTCATCTAAAGTACAAAAAAAAAAAAAAAAAAAGATGTACAAATGTTCTAGATAGCTCCATCCTGTGAATATGTTTCCTTGAAGTATCATATAGGGTTCCCTGGCTGAGTTTGACTGATCTACTTAGAGGTGGATCTTACAGCATAGGCACTGCATATTGAGAGTTTATGTGCCAGACATTGTGCTAAGACAGCTGTTGTTGTTAGTTGCTGTTGAGTCAACTCCTACTCATGGCGACCCCATGTGTGCACAGTAGAACTGTCTTCCATAGGATTTTCAAGGCTGTGACCTTTCAGAAGCAGATTACCATGTCTGTCTTCCCAGGAGTCTCTGGGTGGGTTTGAACTGCCAATGTTTCAGTTAGTAGTCCAGCTCTTAATCATTTGCACCACCCAGGGATTCCTTTAAGACGTCTACTTGTGTGTTACTTATGTTATCACTGAATGGAGGGGCAACTGTCATCACCCTTCACAGATGAGTAAGCTGATGGATAAGAACAATTTTCTATGTGTCTTAATTATCTAGTGCTGCTATCACAGGAATACCACAAGTGAGTGGCTTTAACAGCCATTTATTTTCTCACACTTTAGGAGGCTAGACGTCTGAATTCAGGGCACTGGCTCTAGGGGAAGGCTTTCTCTCTGTTGACCCTTTTCAGCTTCTATTCCTTGGCTCCTTGGCAATCTTCATGTGTTGTGGTATCTGTCTTCCCCCATCTCTGCTTGCTTCTCTCTGCTTAATGTCTTCTTTTTGTATCTCAAAAGAAATTGACTCAAGACATGCCCTACACTAATACAGCCTCTTTAACATAACAAAGAAATCCCATTCCCAAATGGGATTATAACCACAGGTATAGAAGGATTTACAATATATATTTTTTGGGGACACAGTTCAATCCTTAACAGTAGCCCTAGGAAACTAAGACATGTGTCTTCAGTCCAGAACTCCAGGGAATCCCTCTGCCTTCTCTTAGAAGATTCTTTTGCACCTTGTAGATCATACTCTGAGTGTTGACTGAGGCACATGTATTCTTATCCATCTTTTCTCTCTCCTTCATGAAGGACCAGCAGTGCTGACTCCAGGCTGCATCAGTGGCAGGATGTTTGCTCCCTGTTTGGCACAAATGGGAATGTGAACCAACTGGACCTGAGTAATAGCAAGCTTAACCGTTCATCCATGAAGATTCTCCGTGTCTAGCTGAGAAATCCAAGGTGCAAACTCCAAAAACTGATGTGTGAGACCATTCACAGTTCAAAGGAGTCCCAGAAGAGAATAACCTACCTTTCTGGGTGTATCTGTTTGCCAGAAAGTAAGCTAGATGCTCAGGAGAATAAAAGAAATAAGCCACACATGGGGTCTCCATGAATCACGGTCAACTCGGCAGCAACTGGTACTGGTTCTGGTACTAGGCACTGTTCTAAAACACAGATTCTGAGTAGCACCCTAGATTTGTCAAATCAATCTTGGGGTTCTACCAAGGAGTTTGTTTTGTAACAACAACAACAAAAAACCAAGCCCATTTCCATCAAGTTGATTCTGACTCATAGCGACCCTATAGGACAGAGTAGAACTGCCCCACAGGGTTTCCAAGGCTGTAAATCTTTATGGAAGCAGATTGCCACATCTTTCTCCTGTGAAGTGGCTGGTGATTTCAAATCCCTGACCTTTCAGTTAGTAGCCAACCGTATAACCATTGTGTCATCAGGGCTCCTTTTTATAAAAAAAAAAAAAAAAACAAGGGCCGTAGGAAATCATGACTGTTTGAATGAACTGGTATCTGAGTTCCTATTGCCAGACACAGGAGTCCCTGGGTGGTGCAAACGGTTCATGGCCGAGTGGAATATGAATCCATGTCTGACTGGCTCCAGAACGTGGGGCTTATCCCCCATCTGCCTTGAGTCCATTTTACTTTTTCCTTTTTTTTTTTTTTTTTAAAACTAAACACTAATGACTAGCAGGGAGGTCCATGGTGGTTCAATAGAATTCTCACCTTTGTTACCCAAATAGGGTCCATGCCCTGGAGCAGTCAAGCCAATGAAAAATACTCCAAGTCAGAAAGAGTGAGAAAGTTTTAATTTAGGAGGTGTACACCAAAGGGGATCCGACAGCAACACAGGCTGTCTCTACGGAGTCCCAAAAAGCATTTTTACATTCGAGCTTATATATGATTTTTAGAAAGGTTAGAAGTGTTGTTATTCATTACAAGGTAATTACAAGAGACTCTTTATCATACTAAAGAGATAAGGATATTTCCTTATCAGGCTAAAGATATGCATATCTGACATCTGGGCTCTAAACTTCCTGTGGGGGATCCTAAGTCATAAAACAAAGCCATTAACAAAGGTATGCAAAAAGAGAGAAGGCAAAGAAGGAAAAAAACCCCAAACTTATAGGTTCATAATGGCGTTAGTTATGTCAAGCTCTCAGTTGCCCATTTTGAAAAGGAGAAAACATGCTGGGGAGTATTAGGGTCGCACCTTCCACGTGGGAGACTCAGGTTCATTCTCACCTTCCATGCAGGAGACCCAGGTTCAATTCCTGACAATGCACCTCAAGCACAGCCACCACCATCTGTCAGTGGAGGCTTACGTGTTGCTGTGATGCTTGTTATGGATTGAATTGTGTCCCCCCAAAATATTGTGTTGTAAATCGTAATCTCTGTGCCTGTGGTTATAATCCCATTTGGAAATGGTTTGTCTTTGTCATGTTAATGAGACAGGATTAGTGTAGGGTGTGTTTTGAGTCAATCTCTTATAAGATATAAAAGGAGCAGATTAAGGAAGCAGAGATGGGGATGAGAGATGCCAAGTCACATGGAGATCTCCAAGGAACCAGAAAACAGAGCTGAAGAGACAAGGACATTCTCCCAGAGCCAACAGAGAGAGGAAAAGCCTTCCCCTGGTGCCAGTGCCCTGGATTCAGCCTTCTACCCTCCTAAAAAGTGAGAAAATAAATTTCTGTTTGTTAAACCCATCTACCTGTGGTATTTCTGTTATAGCAGCACAAGATAACTAAGATAATGGTGAGCAGGTTTCGGCAGAGTTTCCACATGGACTAGAAAGAAAGGCCTGGTGATCTACTTCCAAAAATCAGCCAGTGAAAACCCTATGGAGCACAACCAAACAATCCCTTTGTTTATGGGGTCACCATAAGTCAAGGGCTGACTCGAAGTCAGCTAACAACAACAACAACAAGGGCAACGATGAGCACATTCTTGGTCCTGAAGTTGTATGAATCTGGAGCAGGAAGGGATAAGTGAGCATAGAAATTTAGTATATCCAGGATTGGGGCCCATAGAGTCCTAGTATGGAAGGACAGGAAATGTGGTCCAGGGAGACTTGGGGGAGGACCTTGGGCTCCCATTCTTGGGGCCCCAATTTGGGCACATCCCTGAGCATCTGTCTCTGTGGTTGCTACTCCTCAGGCTGTGGTTCTACCAGCTCAGACCAGCCAGCTACAGGCACCTGTCAGGCACTCTCCTCCAGAACAAGGGCTTGACACACCTGAACCTGAGTAAGAACAGCCTGGGCAACAAAGGGGTAAAGTTCCTGTACGAGGCACTGGATTGTCCGAATTGCAAACTGGAGAGCCTGGAGTGAGTTTCATTGCCTTCCTCTTGCTGAGTGGGTGGGAGCAGAAAGGTGAGAACTGACCCGAGAACGCCGGAGTCCCTGGTGGGGTTTGAGTCCTGGGTGTAGACATGCCCCTGGCTGTAGAGGAGCTTTTGCTTTTGTTGGGGGTGGGGGTCGTGAGTGATGTGGCCTGTGGGGGGAAAATGGGATGACTGTTACACACCAACTACATTGTGTATGTCCCAGAGGCCCCAAGTTCTGTGATTTGCTGTTGTTTTTGTTGTCGTATGGCGTCTGGTCGATTCTGACTCATAGCGACACCATGTGACAGAGTAGAACTACCCTGTAGGGTTCCCTTGGCTCTAATCTTTACGGACGCAGATTGCCAGGTCTTTTCTCCTGAGGAGCCACTGGTGGGTTTGAACCGACAACTTTTCATTTAGCAGCCGAGCACTTAACCATTACGCCACCAGGGCTGCTCTTATGATTTGCTAACCAAAACAGTCCAAATCCTGATCAGAATGGTGGTTGTGGTAGCCGGGCATCACATAGTTCTTCTGGTCTCAGGGTAGATGAGGTTCGCGTAGACTATTAGACTACTAGTTTCTTCTTTGAGTCTTTGATTTTCTTCCTTCTCTTTTGCTCTGGAAGACTAGAGACCAATAGTTGTATCTTAGATGCTGCTTGCAAGGTTTTAAGACCCCAGACACTACTCACCAAAGTAGGATGTAGAACATAAACTTTATGAACTATATTATGGCAATTGACCAAGTTGTCCCATAAGACTATGGTCCTATCAAGGCTTATGTTTTTCCCCTTTGTATGTTTTTATTTTTACAGTTTGTCCAATTGTTCTCGCACAACGGCGAGTTGTCACGTGCTTGCTAACATCTTCAAGCACAACCATAGCGTGAAGACTGTGGATATTGGGAGGAATAACCTGCAGGAACAATGGCGTCTAACAACTGCGTGAGGGTCTAGAACATTCGAGCTGTGCGCTGACCACATTTGGGTGAGCTGACACTGTTCTTGCAGGAACTACTCTTGGAGTGGAGATAAGCAAAACACAGGGTCACCTGGGAGCAGGTAGAAGGGAGGAATGGTGAAACACAAAGTTCTGCTTTTGAAAATCTCTCCTGCCAGATGCTAAGCTCAAAGTTTATTTAGAGAAGGTGTTTCACTTTTGTTACCCTTGTCCTTGGCTCATCATAAATTTTCTTTCCTTTCATCAGTATATTTTGGATACTAGGTGCTGGGGATGCAGCCTGCTTCCTGCCGGTGAAGCCTTAACTATCTAAGGGGAGATGGATTCTAACCACAATGTGATACCAGCTCAGCAAACTAAGTAACAAGATTAGGGTTTTGGCCAAACATGGCCTGAAAGAAACTTTTCACATAGGTAGACAGTTCTAGGGTTGGTTAATTCAACAGCTCAAAAATGTTTTGAAAAGGGTCCTTATTAGAATTTGTTAGAGGGCATATTAGTGTCAGGGTTCTTCAGATAAACAAGACCAACAGGATATATACCTAGAGAGGGAGGGAGGGGGGAAGAGAGGAAGAAGCGAGAGAGAGGGGGACAGAGAGAGAGATTTTAAGGAATTGGCTCTAATTTTATGTTATATACATTTTACTGCAATTTTTTTTTTAAATAAAAAATAGTATCCACTTTTATAGCCTTGATGCATAGATTAAATAAGTTATATGTATTTGCAAAAGTGTCTGGCATATGGTAAGCATTCCCCTGTGAACCAGTCTTTTATTTATTAATTTTTTCTGGTTGCAAATTATTATTTTTTTATTTTGGTGAAAATATACATACTAAAACATGCACCATCTCAACAATGTCTACATGTACAATTCATTGACATTGATTGCATTCTTCAAGTTGTGTAACCATTCTTGCTGTCCTTTTCCAAATCATTCCACCACCATTAACATAAACTTAATGCCCCCTAAGCAAAAACTTCTCCTTTCCCCTTCCCTCTCACCCTTGGTAACCACTAATGATCTTTGGTTTCTATGTATTTGCTTATTTCATATTAGTGAGATCATACAGTAATTTGTCCTTTTGTGACTGACTTATTTCGCTCAGGAAACCCTGGTGGTGTAGTGGTTAAAAGCCACAGCTGCTAACCAAAAGGTTGGTGGTTCAAATCCACCAGGTGCTCCTTAGAAACCCTATGGGGCAGTTCTACTCTGTTCTGTAGGGTCTCAATGAGTCAGAATCAACTCGACGGCAGTGGGTTTGGTTTTTTGATATTTCACTTAGCATCATGTTTTCAGGGTTCATGATGTGGCATGCTTCAGGACTTCATTTCTCTTTTATGACTGCATAATATTCCATTGTGTGTATATATGTCACATTTTGTTTATCCATTCTTCTGTTGATTTCTGTTGTTTCCACCTTTTGGCAATTGTGAAAAGTGCTGCAGTGAGCATTGGTGTACAGGTTTCTGTTTGTGTTCCTGCCTTCACTTCATCTGGGTATATACCTAGGGCTGAGATTGCTGGGTCATGTGGTAGTTCAACTTTTTGAGGAGCCACCAAACTGTTTTCCATGGCTGCGGTACCATTTTATGTTCCCACCAGCAATGGAGGAAGGTTCCATTTTCTCCACAACATTGTCAACATCTGTTGTTTTCCATTGTTTTGATCATTGCTATTCTAACGGGGGTGAGGAGGTATCTCATTGTGGTTTCTATTTGCAACTCCAAAATGGCTAATGAAGGCTCTCTGGTGGTACAATGGTTAAGTACTTGGCTGCTAACCAAAAAGGGTCAGCAGTTCGAACCCACCAGCTGCTCCATAGGAGAAAGATGTAGCAGTCTGCTTTTGAAAAGATTTACAGCCTTGGAAACTCTATGGGCAGTTCTACTCTGTTCTATAGGGTCACTATGAGTCAGAATTGATTCGATGGCAACGGATTTGGTTTTTGGGGGAAAGGCTAATGAAGAATCCCTTGGTGGCAGAAACAGTTAAGTGCTTAACTACCAGCTGAAAGGTTGGCAGTTTGAACCCACCAAGAAGTTCTCGGAAGACAGACCTGGCAATCTGCTTCTGAAAGGTCACAACCTTGAAAATCCTATGGAGCAGTTCTACTTTGCATACATGGGGTTGCCATGAGTCGGAATCCACTCAATGACAAATGATGTTGGGCATCTTCTCATGTGCTTGGTGGCCATTTGAATTTCCTCTTTGGTTAAATGTCTGCTCAAGTCTTCTGCCCATTTTTTTCTTACCAATCTTTTTTAGTGGTATTTTTTTCTAGATCTTGTATCACTCTTCTTTGTAATTTCTTTATCTCAGAGGACCATTTTTCCTGCTTCCTCCTCCTTTCCTCCTTTCACCCTCAGGTTGGAGAAATGCAATTTGACGGCTGCTTGCTGCAGGCCCCTCTCCTCTGTTCTCAGCACCAGTAAACACCTGGCTAATCTGAAACTTTATAGGCAATGCCCTGGAACGTGACAGGGTCACGATACTGTGTAAGGCCTTCAGAAAGTCAATGTGTAAACTACAAAGACTCGGGTAATCCCCACTGACTTTTCCACTGAGATGAGAATGGACTGGCCAAGGGTTTAAAGCAAGCATCAAGTGTGTCGTGCGTTCTATCTTGTGGTGTAGTATTGACCAACAGAATTCTCGGTAGTGATGGAAATGGTCCGTACCTACGTTGTCCAGTGGAGTAGCCACTGGCCTCACTGAGCACTTGAAATGTGGCTAATGCAATGGAGGATCTGAATTTCTTATTTTCATTCATTTTAATTAAATTTAAATTACCGTATGTGATTAGTGGCTACCATACTGGATGGCATGGTCCTGGAGACTTTTTGATGTTTTAGGAGTCCTCTCATTTTCCTCACTCTATCACTGACTCTATATTGTTTTCTGGGAGCCACTCATTCAACAACTTGTATTTCAGTGCTTACTATGGAGCAAGCACCATGGTAGACAGTGGGAAACAAGACGGACTTGAGCCTTGTCCTCATGGGTCTTGAGTTGTATTCTGGAATATGACAAATCCAAGACATAAAATCAGTGCTAGCTGTCATGAATGCTACGAGGGCAACTCTGGGTTGAGTTGTGGAAGAACAAGGCTGACCAAGATGTTTGTCTTAGTATCCTAGTGCTGCTATAACAGAAATACCACAAGTGGGTTGTTTTAACAAACAGAACTTAATTTTCTCACAGTTCTGGAGGCTAGAAGTCCTAATTCAGGGCACTGGCTCTAAGGAAACCTCTCTCTGTTGGCTCTGGGAGAAGACCCTTGTCTCAGCTTCTCTAGCCCGGCGTTCCTTGGTTCCTTGGCTCCTCAGCAATTTCCATGTGGCATCTATCTTTCCCCCGCTTGTGCTTGCTTCTCTTTGTGTCTAACCTGCTCTTGTTATATCTCAAAAGCCCTTAGGTTTAAGATACGCACAAAACTGATATGGCTTTATGAAAATAAAGAAAACCCTATTCCCAAATGGGATTACACCCACAGGTATAGGGATTAGGACCACAACACTCTTTTCTGGGGGAAGCAATTATGTCCGTAACTGGTGAGGGAAGGCTTCTCTGAGGTGATATCATTCATCTTGTGACCCAAGGCGGCTAGAAGGGGGAGTCCACGTATCAGGAGTGGCACACATAGTATGGTGACTAGAGATGAGGGTGAAGGGTTCTAAGGACTGGAGTAACATGTGAAAAGACCCTGAGGCTGGACTGAGCTCTGTGAGACCCATCAAAGAATTGAAAGAAGACCATTTATTTAATTAGAATACGCTCCACATTTTTCAGTGTTCTAGAGAGGAGATTAGAAAGGTAAGCAGTGGTTTTCCCTGGGGAAAGGCATTCAACTTGGTACATTTTAGCGGTCGCCTCATTGCCAAGGAATTTTGTCTCCTTTTGGAAGGCAGCCAAAACCTGTACTTTTAGGATTTTATGTTACCAGCTTCACACCTAAATGATGACTTTTATTAGATTTATTAAATTAAATTTCACATAATTCAATTTAATTTATTGATTTAATTAATATTTAAACCTAATTAA